ATTCAGAGTTTTTATAGCTCATAATCTAAGGTAGACTTTAAATATATGTGAATATAAAAAATCCAGTGCTAACAACTCCATCAGAACATTAGTTTATTGAAATGGACTGATCACCCATCCCAATGTCAAATGATCTAGTCTTTTTATTACGGCAAGCTGGTTCACATTAGGGCAATGCTGTCTTGGGGCAGTACTGGATGGATTAGGACAGTGTATATTAGTCAGCATTCATTAACTCTGTGACCAAATACCTAACAAAAACAACTTAAGGAAGGAAAGATTTATTTTGCTCACAGTTTTGCAGGTTTCAGACCATCATGGTGGGGAGGGTGTGCTGGTGTAACCCACACTATGGCAGACAGGACGCAGAGTAGAGAAGTAATAGGAAGGGGTCAGAACAAGATATGGTCCTTAAGGACATGCACCGAGTGACTTACTTCCTCCAACCATGCCCCACTTTTCACAGTTTACCACCTCCCAATAATCGACTCAAATTTTTGAATCCATCATTTAACTATTCATTAGGGCAGAGTCCTCATGAGCTAATTGTCTCTGGAAAAACCTCACAGACCCACCCAGAGGTGTGCTTTACTAATCTCATAGGTGTTTCTCAATCCAATTAAGCTGACAATCAAGATTAACCACCACAGACAATCTCCTGCTTTACCTTGTGGGTGGCTGGAAAGTCAGAGGACTCATCTCAGAATTTAGACTCTATGGGTAAGTTTGGCATGTGAACCTATTTGACCCTATATAAGTGAAACAGTTTTCTGTCCTTGCCTTGCAGAATGTAGGCCAGATGAGGAGTTTATACAGACTATGGCTTCATGGATAGAGGCACCCACTGGAATAGCAGCAGCCTTCCCCTCATCCACAGGGCTGGAAGGAAGAAGGACTCCCCGCATATGCTCACTGGCCTGATAGACTTTTCAACACCACCAAGATGTGAAGGACCCGCAGAACATTCTATCAAGTCAATTTGCAAATACACAAAAAAAGAAGCTTGGAAGGCATAGTAACCTCGCTGAGCTATTATTTCAGGGATTACCAGAGTTTGGACTTAGCTTTATGTACATCAAAGGGTTCTTGAAGAGGTAGAAAATTGGCATACCAGTTTTGTTCAATAGTCAGTCATTTACATTATTTTATTTAAAAGTAACTAAAGGTGATTATAGCACAGGATATTAATTCCACGGAAAGCATAAGACTTCAGAGGTATTTCTTCTACAACTGCATGCCCAGATGTATCTCAAGACCATCAGCCATGAAGGGTTTTGGAGTGGAACGGCTTGAGTGCCAGCAGGTTCTCTCTGTTAATTGCCCCCATACCTAAATCTATGTGTATATAATAAGTAAATCTAATACAATTGATTAGATTGTGATTAGCAAGTGATTAGCATTATCTTTAGCAAGACATTTAATTAATACAAAGCTTTATCCTCTCCATGACTTGTATTCACCCTGAGCTGTGGGTTATATCTCTCCAATCAGACTCTCCATATGTGTGATACATCCTTCTCAGCAGGCACACCGTATCCATCTGCTTCTCCTTGGTGATGCTACTTTGATGACCTCTTCAAGATGCTGTTGGGATTCTCCCACAATAAAGTATATGAGACAATGTATACAGTATCTTACTATGTAGATACTGTTTTCCCCCTCACAACTAATCAAAAAAAAATCTCTACAGAAACATCTTGAGGCTATAAAAATATCCTGTGTATCATCAAACTTTCCCCCAAGATTTACAATTCATTGATGACCTTTTCTCTAAACGTTTAGTAGTCCTAAACTAAAATGGTCATTTCCCACCTCTGACACTTCCTCTACACAATTTAGTTGTGGTTCTTTTTTCTCCATAATTTGAGGGGCGATAGTGGAAGTATTGTGTTCAAAATTTAATATTATGTATTACTACTATATGACGGATTAACTCAAAAGGTTAGTTCCGTTTCTTTCTTGCTTTCTTGGTAACTTTGTTTTTCAATTGAAAAATAATCCAGTTTGCACTCATTTTTAGAGTTTCCTCCATTCTTTTGATGTAATTTTAATGTTTGAATATACTGAAGACATGCTTTCAAAAGTCAAAGCTACACAAAAAATGTATACTCAGAGATGCATCACTCCCTCCTCAATTCCTTCTCTTTTGTATTCCTTCCCATGTCTTATAGATAACCGCTTCTGTTGGCTTCTGATTTATCTGGTTCTTATTTCTTTCTATGAAAATAAGCAAGTATATGTATATCTTCTTCTTTATTCTATTTTCCACACAACAAGTAGCCTGTTATACTTATTCTTGCATTTTGCTCATTTTTCTTAGCAGTATATCCTGGAAATTATTTCATGATTTCCAAAAGAGATCATCTTCATTCTTGTTTTTAACATTGCTCCATTAGGTACATATTCCAGAGTTTAACCAATCTTTTATATGTTTGGGCATCTAGATAACTTCCAATATTTTGAAATAATTAGCATTTTGCAATGAACAAATTTGTGCATAGGCATTTTGGTATTGTTGGAGGTTCATGTTCAAGGTTAGGATTGTTCCAAGTAGGATTGTTGGGGAAAAAGTAAATACAAGCCCCTTCCCGTGAGATTGCTCTACGCTGCATTCTTACAGGTCTGTGAGAGCCTCCCTTTGCCATAGCCTCGCCAACACAGTGCATGGATAGGATTTTAAACTCTACCATTCTGATGGGTGAGAAATGCTATCTTACTATAATTTAATTTTCATTTTTCTTGCTATGAATGAAGTTGTATATTTTTCATATGTTTAAGAGCTATTTTTGTCATTTTTCATGAATTGTTCATATCTTTTGCTTGTATTTTTCTATGAGAACTTTGGGAGTTTTTCTTGTTTTTAAAAGTTGATATATTAGAAATATTAACTCTTCATATGTGCTATATGTTGCAAATATTTTCTCCCTTTTGACTTTGTTACTGGTGTTTTTTCTCTTACACAAGTTTTTATGTCTTTTTTTAGGTAAAAACTAATCTTTGGGAGTTTTCTGCCTCTGAATTTTGGAGTTAGAAAACCTTTTCCTGACTCCAAATTGCAGAGGAATTGATCCAGGTTCTCTTTTAGTGCTTATATGGTTTTATTTTTCACAGTTTAGATCTCTAGTCCACTTGGATTTCTTTCTTAGATATGCTGTGAATATTAGAAATAATTTTATTTTTTCTCTAAATAGCTGCTTAGTTTTCACAAGGCAATTTATTGTAAAGCCTATCCTAGCCCTATTAATGTAAGATGACACCTTTATAATACATTAAATACCCATATGCAATTGAGACTTTTCTTGGACCTTCTATATTTTACTGATCTGTCTATCCAGGTTCTAGCATCATAATATTTTCATTTTAGATTCTGTTCATTCTTCTATTTTTTATATTGATGAAATAAAAAGTGACTGATTGAATTGTTTGGGGCTTGTATACAAAAACCACTGGGGGAGTGGTTATTACAGCACTCACTAACCACATGCCTTCTCTTTGCTCCTAGGTTTTTCTGCCTCACTGAACCACACGTAAGAAAAGGAGATGATGGTGGGCATGGTACATGACTATAATCCCAGCTACTTGATTGATGGAGGTAGTAGGATTGAAGTCTGAAGCCAGATTAGGCAAAAGCACAAGACCTTATCTGAAGAAAAAAAAAAAAGTGGACTGGGGTGTGGCTAAAGTGGTAGAGTTCTTACTTAGCAATTGTAAGGCCCTGAGTTTATTCCCTAGTACTGCCAAAAGAAGGGGAAGAAGAAGGAAGAGGAGGAGGAGAGAGGAGAAGATGATGATTAACTATAACTATTGTTTCTGTTGTAATTACTGTTAATACAGTGCCATCATAAATGGGGTAGCTTAGCTATTTTGTTTCTATGATTCAAAATCAAACTAGTATTATACCCTCAAACTGATAAAAGTTCAAAGCCTCTCCAGCAACCAAAGAGGGTTCTCACCCTCCAACTCTTTGCCCCTGTATTTGGGTGACTTTTCCTGGGGAAGGGTGTCCCTTTTGGACCAGGAGACACAGTCCTATTCCTATGGTCCAGTGTACACTTAAAGGCTGAGGTGGGATGAGCTGCTTCAGCCTGGTTTGCATCAAGGTGTCCCTCAGCCTGGGTTCCCACATATAATTCCTGTCCTGTGTGTGCCTGCAGCTGCCAGAAATATAGCAGGAATGGGAGAGCATGGGGAGAGGAAAGCTGGCCCTCAACAGCCATCAAGACCACTCCAGAGCACAGCTGTGTCTGGGTTACAGTGATTAATGTGATGTGAATCCCAACAAAAATGACGGCAGAAGGGTCCTGGGAGATCATTTATAATCAATAAATGAAACACGTCACTCCCATCAGACTCATTATCACCATGAAAAATCACCCTGAAATTACACAAGAAATGTGGCCATGGAGCAATTACTGAATGATTGGCAAAGCTCCTCCTTTGAAGCTCTTTCAGCATCACAACCTTCTGTCTGGAATCCAGCTCTGTATGAGCCCGTGACCAGAGTTTCACACAACAGCGCTCCAGAATTGCCACTCAAGCACATTCTCACTTGTCTATGAGAAAAAAATGCAACTACAGCCTATATGGTGGCTCCAATTTGTTATTAGAGCCACGCTGCAGTCACATCTTCAATTGAGACCTAAGATTCATCACCAGGACTGGGCCTCCCAGGTGGTGAGGGCTGAGTCTAAGAACACGCTTATTAGCTCTGCTTCAACAAAGGAATGTGAACACATGTGGGAAGTGGTGAGGGAGGGATGTCATTAGAGAAGACGAAAGCAAAAAAGGGACGTTCTATGCTGACCAGAGGTCTTTCAGAAATACATGTGACATTTCTGGATATTTTTTAACCAACCTTTCTTGCAAAGGTGACTATCACCAACTGTACACACAACCAAGGAAAATGTTATTGAATCCTACTATTAAAGAATGGCACCGTGGCCTCTCACTGTGAGATGAGGGTAAACCTCAGCCTCTCCCCCGGGGCCCTGTGGACTCACGGTGCTGTCAATGTAGGCTTCAGTCCACACCACATCATGGTCCTGGTCGATGACTTTGGGCCGACTGAGCACATGGAGGTACTCCATGACGTTTTCCTGCACGTCAGCCAAGGTGGAGATCTGGGTGAAAAATCCTGCCGAAACCCAAGAGAGGGCCAAGTTTAGTGATACAGAGGAGAGCCTGCAGCCAGAGCATGCATCTGCCAGGCCTTCTTGATCTCCAGCTAAATTCCTTCTTTTCACTTTTTTAAGTAGTAGATCTCATCTCTACCACTACTCACAACAAGAGTAGTATGCTCATGTGAGAATACGTAGTCAAGCAAAAGGGATAAAATTTAAATGAACCAGAAACACCTCCCACCCCCAGGAAGTCCAACCTCCCAGACTTTATAAATTAGAGCCCTCTAATTTTGTAACCTTTCTTTTCTACATAGCGTGCTTATTTCCATGGGGAAAACTATAAACCGCCTAAATGAAAGGCTATTCCAGTTTTATAATTCCAAATATTGTAGTTGCAATTAACATTTGCAACTACAAATGTTGCAATTTGGTCACTAACTGTCCAAAATTTGCTAGGTCCTTGATATGTATGTGTTATTTATTGCTGACATCATGATTAAGTGAGGATTATTGTGCCCATGTTAAAGATGGCTGACATGGCTCAAGCGGTACAGCTTCTGCCTAGCAAGCACAAGGTCCTGAGTTCAAACTTCAGTATTGCCACAAAGAAAAAAAGGTGGCTGAGGCAGATGGAGGCCCTGTATTCTGCTCATGTTCTCACTAGCATCAGATGGCAAATACAGAAAGAGATGCAAGGCTACGAGTCTCTTAATCTGTACCCTTTGTTTCTTTGGATTTTTGCTCTTTCTAGTTTTGAGGCAGAAACTCCAGCTCAAACCACAATAAGACTATCAAAACTCTCTTTTGAATATACTGGGTAGACATGGTTTCTAAATCACAGAAAAAGTTCTAAGCAACTACTGTCCTGTGGATGAGGACATCAATTTGGTTAGAGTTCAGGGCACTGCTGCACTCCTATTCAGCTTGGGGTTCTGTGGGCTTTGCTGTGGGTTAGGAGATTCAGAAGGGAAAGGGGGACTAAGCTCAGGCCTGGCTCCCCAGGAGGAAGTCCTTCATTTAAGCCTTTTTGGAAAGTTTTCTTGTTGCCTAGAACAGGAAGAACAGGATCTTCCCCGCTTTACAGCCTGGCAGATCAGAGTGAACAAAGTAAATAAGACACCAAACAGCACAATCAACATTTAGCTAAAGCACACAGCAGGCACATTAAAAAAAAAAAAAAATCCTGGCCACCCCAAGCTATGGTCCTTGCAGCTGAGAGCTGAAGGATGAGCGCAGTCAGGTAGAAGAGAGAATAAGGAGATTGCCTAGCAAAGCAAGACCCAAGATCAGACAGATTGAGGCCCCTTTTGAGAATGAAAACGCTAGTGTTAAGGATTTGAATGGAGGGCAGAAACATGGCACTCTAAGATTAGAGAATGAACGGGATGGACACATCATTGTGCGGGAAAGGGCTGAGACTTTATCCCAAAATGCAGATGGTCATGAGAGAATTTTAAGCAGGGGGACCAAAAAATGGACACAAATTCATGTTTCTTACACATATCACTGAATAAGCTCACACCCGCTGCTACTCACCAAACGAGTCAGAGAGTGTATCTGCACCTCTGAAGCTAGATCTGTCACAGCATTTGTACAGCATTTACAAAATATTCTGAGAGTAAAGAAACACCAGCCCTTCCATTGTCCAGGGAGGGCCGGGACCCTCCCAGAGCATTTCCAAACAAAGGCCAGCTGGTTTGAATTTGGTATGCAAACCCCAAAACAGGTTGGGACCATGTGGCTTCTGGGCTCCTGATGACAGCTCTGCACAGTGCTAATTAGCATGCATTATCACTCTTGCCTGCCCCACCCTCCTGGCCAGGGCCAGAGCCTTACCCATTCCAGGAAATAGGGCCCTAAAGCAAGAGCATGAGTGCCTATTCTAGTTTGAGACATGGTAGCAGGGGCTATGAGTACCTCTCTTAGCGGTCTGGCCCCAGAGTGAGAGACACATTTGGTACACTGATCTCTCACTGCTCCTAGGTGGTTCCTTTTAGAGACATAATGGAAAAGACAGATTTTAGAGGAGATAGCAGGGAGACAGAGAACATACCACACTCAAAAGAATCATCTCCTGATACATGGTAGCTGCAATCAATGAGTAAGGAAATGTTTCAGCTACCAAAAGTTTAGTTCTTGGACTTGGTGCCAATTTATGAGTAAGGAGAGCAGGGGTCTGAGGAAAAGGAAAATTAAGGTTTTGTATTAATTCACCAAGAGAATGAGGAAGACAGTGAAATCCAGTCTTAAAGTGTGCCATCCTACTCCTGAGAGAAAATGTCTAGTTTGTAAGGGGGAGTTTGGTTCCAGGGTCTATGGCAGAGTGCATATCCCAAGACCAGATGGTGGCCTTGGTTATTCCTATTTCCCGGTTACTGATACCACATCTCTGAAGTTGTATGTCTTGTTTGACAGAGGTTTATTCTGTCCTGTGGTCAGAGGAAGATGAGTTTGGGAAAGACTGCATGGCTTGTTTGTAAGAATTTTAATCTTGACTTTCCCAGCATGGGGAGGGAGAAAAAAATGTCAGTTTGAATCCCTCTATAAGTGGCAAGGCAAACTGGCCCGAATACAGGCTGGCTACAGCTGAAAGATTTTGGGGGAGCAGTCATTTTATCTCTTCTTTAGTAGGTAAACCTTGGGTTAGAACCTAAAAGGACAAGCTAAGTGGAGCATTACCACGTTGGTAAGAGGAGAAAATTGATGGTTCGGATAGAGGCACATGGATGAGCATTTCCATTGTGAACCCATTCCTTGGGTCCCTGTGCCAAGTGTGCTGTGAAGCGAGCATGTCTTAGAAGTTTTTCTTGATTGTCTGTATTTTCATGTCTAATCATTAAAGCTAACATTAAACCTCTCTGATTTAGGTTTTCCAAAACAGGGCCAACTGAAGAAAGGGGATGAATATAAGGAGGATGGGAAAGGCAGACCTCAGCCTAGAGAGTGAGTGGGAAGGAAAAACAATCACACATTTGGACGGGGACTGAGCAGAGAAACCATCCTCACTTGGCCTTGTTTATCATAGTCACAATTCTGAAAGAAATAAAAAACAGACTTCTCAGAGCTACAGAACCATAGCCAACTATATACCTGATACCTCTACTGGGATAAGCAGCAGAAATCCAAACTGAATTTGTCCAAAGCCCTTGACTCCTCCACTAAACCCATTCCTCCCAGTTGTTCTTCCCTCCTCAGCAGTGGTACCACTGACCAGTTAGGCTCAAAGCATAAGAGTTATCCTGGATACCCATTGCTGCCTCACCCTATCCCATATCTAACTCAGCATTCTTTTCTCTAAAGCACATCTAAAACTCACTTCCCTCTCTCCACTGTTTTCCCCCACACCAAAATTCTATCATGTCTCAGCAACAGTATAGCTACCATCTCCTCACAAATCCATCTCCTTGTATAGGTACCTAACAGAAGAGAGGAATTGTCTGAAAGTATAAAGTAGATCATCCTTTCTCTGGCTTAAATCCTACAATAGCTTTTATGTTAAATTAGAGTAAAATCCAATTGTCTTACTCTGACCTCCAAGACCCTCCTTTAATTGGCCCCACATACCTGGGTGAGCTTGTCTACTTCTGTTCTCCCCTTTTGCAGTTTCAGCTTGTCAACCTTCTTTCTCTTGCTTTCATATGCTAAGCTCATCCCTCCCACCCAGGGTACTTGCTGCCCTCTTCCCAAAACATCCATTACCCAGCTTTCTAAGAATTGCTCCTTGTTATCACTGAGGGTTTGGTTGAGAGTAGCTCTCCCTGACACTCCTATCTGAACTCGCTCCCTCTCACTGCATTCTTCTTCAATGTCTTCAGAACATTCATCCATCTATTGCTGGATTTCTTTCCCTACTATGTTCTCTGTCACTGGAATGTAAGCTCTGTGAGATGTTTAAAAAAAGGTTGATGCTGTCTGTTTGGAAGCAGTGTTCCCGGAATGGGGAGTGTGGGCATATGGGAATCATTTGTAAAATAGGAGCCTCACAGATCTTCTAGGGACTCACCTTGCCTTCTACACTTGTGACGCACGATAGCCCAACTCATGTGCTCAGTAGAGGGGAGAAGAGAAGCTCACAGAGCCCCTTGACTTGCTCCATCCAGGTTCATTGGTCTCAAAAACTTTTGGTCTCAACCCTAGAGACACTGTCTCTTCCTATGGTGGGAAGAACAGCGGGGTCCTCAGAACTAATCCTCCAAAGAGCACCTCTAAGAGGGTGATTTGTATATTGCAGCTAGAAAAGGTTGAGGATGGGAATGGGTTGAGGTTCCTAGCAATGAGCAATAATTAGAACCAAAGGCTTACTTCAAGCCTAGAACACAGTTCCAACTTATACTTCAATATGGAGACCAGAAATGCAATTGTATAAGGAAAGCTGAAACTATAAAAAAAATAATAATATTAATGGTGTATATTGCAAAGCTTACGCAAATTTGATCCTGACCCATTAAAATTTAAAGTCTTTCCAAGTCTTTTTTTTGCTTTGAAATATTTTCAAATAAGCTTTTGTTAACAAATGTATGGATTTAGTTAACAAATGATGGATAGTAGGAAGTTGCTAAGGGCTGGAATCTTTAACTGTAACCATAGCCGCTTCCCTTTTTTCCCCCCTTATATTCTCCAAGCTGGCCACTTTCCCCTGTTTTTTTCCCTCTCCTGTTAAATTCTAGCTCTCTTAAATGTTTATTCTCTTCTTTAATGTGCCGTTTTGGACTTCATATATCATGTAAGAAAACAGAATCAGCAATCATTTGGTAATTACCAAGGAGTAATTAATGCTGAAATTAACCACCTATTACAAATGGTCTGCTCATTTTTCTACATAACATCAATTTATTTACCTTATTCACTTACAGCGTTCCTTCTGTGAACTCTGAGTTACAACTGCTCAATGTGATAAACCATATGCAGCCTGATGCTTCGTATTCCTCAGAATTTACTGCCCCACTTCAATGTGACCTGGAGTCCCTTATCTAAGAACTGCCTTGACATGAGACACTCCACTGACAAATCATTC